GGAGGGGGGGAGAACTTTTCACACCGCTGTCTAAGGAGATGTGGTGTTTCATGCCCCAAAATTAAATATTGTTTGCATGGGAGTACTGCGAGACCAAAATTCTAGAGTGGGTGAGGAAATGTGCTTAAGGCTCCCTCTGGGAGAGGAACACTTTCTGACATGAAGATCTTCCAATAAAACAGGAACGGAGATGTACCTTTTACTGAAGATTTTATCAGATGAACTTTATTAATACTTAATGAGACTCATACTTTCACACTCACTGGATGAAAACTTTCCTATTCAAATAGTTGTATGCCCAAGCATGTCCTAGAGGATTGAACAATATACTTGGAATTTTTTCTTTCTTTGAACAATGTCTCTTTTGAACAGTCTTCTAGACTGCTTGCCATGGAGCAACACAACTGGGTTTTGCCTGTAGCACAACTTTGGCCTGAAATATTTTTCTTGAGGAGTTTCTGAGGAAAGGTGTTCTTCATTTGTATTGACTGCATTGCTGTTTAGTCTTAAAGTATTAAATTTCTTCCACTTTTTCTAATTTTCAGGTGTTGTGATACTAAGTCAGTATTTAAATTCTGGTAGAGATTTGGAATTGGGTAGCTTAAGGCTATGAAGGGAGTTTTCATTTCTATTCCTCACCAAGACAGTGGTGCGAGTGAATTATCTTGCTGAGAATTCCAGCACTTCACATGAATCTCCTCATGCAGACCATAGAAACTTCTTAGGACACACTATCTGGCACTTACTATTAGCTAAATTGTCCCATAGTTGATTGTTGTCCCAATCAACAACAAATGGCATTAATTCACTGACACTGATCTGGTTTAATAGTATGGCTGAAGCATAACTAAAGCAAGACTATCAAATGATGTAGGGATAGGAAAGCAAAATTTCAAGTGAAATATATTAAAAATTCAGAATAACCTATCGAGATCATTAATAGCGAAACAGGCATTTGGTTCAAATAAAAATTTAAATTATTCTAATTAAAAAGAAAACAATTTGTTGCTGTGATGAATGTCCTCTGTGTTTTTAGGTTTTCCTCTCTATACTTGTGTCCATTCACTTTTCTTCTCTAATTTACAGGGATGTTTATCCACTGTAGTGCTGAACAGGAGCGGTTTGGTTGGTACCTGTTCACAATTTAAAGAACATTTAATACCTCTGTAGATTGGCCCTCTGCTGCCTAATTTCTCCAGCCATTGACTTGTCTGTTTAGATTGCAGACTCTTGGAGGAAGCTGTATGACCCAGTCTGTTTGAGACCTGCCAGTGTTACCACTATGTTAGTAATTAATACCAACAGTAATAGTGCGCTTTTGCTTAATCACAGGAGGAGAAATTCTGAGCTGATTTTTGTGATTTGGGTTTTCTTCTATTGGATCTTTAACTATAAATTCTGCTTCTTTTCTTGTTTCTTTGCTTTTCATTCATAAATAAGCACATATTACATCAGACTGTTGCAATATTACCGTTTTAAGACTAGATTTCTGCTTTGCACTGAAATTAGATGTCCAAATCATGTATAAATTACCAATAGTATAATAGTTTTTCTTCTGTATGTGTTTTTCTCCTTCTTATTTTTCACTTTTTTTTTCTTTGATATCTAGGGACAATCAGACTAGACAAATACAAGATGCTGTTTCAAATGTGGAAAAACATTTTGGTGAATTGTGCCAAATATTTGCTGGATATGTACGTAAAACTGCCAGACTACGAGACAAAGCAGATCTTCTAGTAAATGAAATATACGCATATGCAGCCACAGAGACACCAAACTTAAAAGTTGGACTGAAAAACTTTGCAGATGAATTTTCCAGACTTCAGGATTATCGCCAGGCAGAGGTACAAAATTAAAGCTGTACATGTTGTGTTTGCCATCTGAACTTTTCAGTTACTTATCTGTGATCGAAAGGGAAAAGATATATTCATCAGTCATGAGAGAAACATGGGAGAAACCACTTTTAAATATAGCAGTGGCAGAGCAGGATAAGCTGCCAAAGCATTCATTATTTACTCTGCTAATAACTTTAGTGAAAAATACCTGTGATTAGTCCTGTGAAGTCAGTGAAACTGTCCATGTGAGTATTCACAGAACTGGAGACAGCGCAAGTCTTTTATTGGCCTTAGACTTTGGATTATGATTTATGGTGAATAAAGTGTTCTTTTAGTTTTGTGATTTGAGTTGTCTAGCAGCACAGCAGCTGAGGTAAAATCAGTCATTTCCCTTTTGCTGAGTCTGTTATCAGAAGTAGTATGGAAGAGAATACTAACTGGAATCCTTCCTGGGCACTGACAGCCCCTCTGAGATGCTGTTGGCGACCACTGCAGATTTCATAAGTCTGTAGTTCAACGTGAAAACTACAAACTTGATTTGGAATATGCGTGACAATATAGTCACAGTTCTGCTAGATAAGTGAGAATGTAAAGAAAGGTGTTTATGCCACTTACAGATCTGTGTGCAGGGCCAGTCAAACTGTAATTTATGATCCAGAATTCCAAATGTTGAGATTTAAGAAAAAATAATTTGTTCTCATGTACTTTTTGAAGTACGTATCTGTTCTTTCAGTAGGGCATAGAAAATTCTCATTTATAATTTTGAGAAGCTAAGAACCATTGCAATTTGAACAGAGATGAAGGTAGTTGATATTCTTGATGTTTTCAGATAGAACGTTTTTTTTAAAAAAAAAAAAGCAGCATTGCAAGTCTTTCTATATTAACAAAGTAGAAAAAGAAAACCTTTTAGAAGAAGTTAATCTATAAGGTATTTAGTCTACTACTTCACCCTACTTAGTAGAGGGTTTGAAACCCCTAACCCCCCTACTTAGTAGAGGGTTTGAAAAACAAGAAATATTCATAGATCTTTAACAATGTGTTTAGGGCCAAATTTTTAAGAAGTAATAAGAAGTGCAGGGGTGTGGATAGCGGGATTTTTATTTGTTTCCATAAGCTTTTATGCATCTGGCTCCAGCTGAGCCACATGTAGGTCCTTATGCTTCAATTGATGTAACAGCAATTTAGGCCTCTGTTAATAGAGTAAATTCATGTTATAGCTAAAGATGCATGTGAAGTCAGACTGCGTTATCTCTCAGTCCTTTTCACCTTTAAACTATGAATCTGTAATTTCGAGGTACTTATGTAATGACTTGAGTTTTCATCTTTTGATTTCTAAGAGTGTTTGTAAAAACTGGCATTTGGCCTACGTCCTCCTGCCATGCCTGTTCCCAAACCACCATTGCCCTTTGAAGGAGAAAAGGCAGAATAAGCAAAGGAAAATAGAAGTTTCAAGTCTTTAAATCAAGCTCTTATTTGCACGTGAAAACCAAATAGTTAATCTCAGCCTTATTTCTTTTGGCCACTAGGTTAACAGTTTTCATATGGACTGATAATGTGGACAAGAGAAAAATAGCTTATAAGAGTTACCAATTTCTGGTCTTCAGCTGCAGTGCTAGATATATAAATGCTGAGGTGTGTATAAGGGTAAACAAGCGAGATGGACAGGTTATTTGATAGGTCTACATCATATGTTTCATTTGAAGCCTTACTATCCCATTCTATTCTATTGGTAGTTTAAGTGAAATGGTTTGACAGTGCTCTAGTAGATTTTAGTAAAGGAGAAATGTTTGCTCAGTTGGCATAGATTTTGGCTGACTAGTGACTTACAGTTCAGAGAGGAGTGTAGTGTCTGTCCCTTACCAGTAGAGGTGTGCACCTTGTCCTAATTTGGACGTAACAGCGATGGGCCAGATGGTCCAAAGTCATCAGCAGCTTATGGCAGGGCCACTCGGGCAGTATTGACAATTTTGACAAGCAGGCAGGTCTTATCCTATTGCCTGTCTGACCATATGTAGCTGTTTTTCTAACTAGGAGAGCTGATACAATAATTCAGATGTACTCATCTGTGAGAGCATTCATGCATTGTACACAACCTGTTATTGATATGTTTAATATTTTTAGTACCTATTATGCTGTTTCCATTCTTTTAAGAACAGGAGCATTGCATTTCATACAGAGTGTTTGATAGCAAAGATGGATAGATGATAATCTATCAACAAGTGTAGAATAAATATATTGATCTTTAACTTCACATAGAAAGCTACAGATATTCAATATGCAATATTTGATGTATTTAGTACTCAGTTGTTGAAATCTCCAATTTTTATTTATCCTTATGTATTGCCAGTGGGAAAAAAAAAAAGGCACTCCACTAGAAATCAGCTTGAGCGCCTCAAAATACAAATGATTTACTGGTTAATTTCATTGATTCTGGTTTTTGCAATATTTTTAAAACCTCCATCCCACTATATTTTCAGCGTATATGGACTAAATTCCTAATAAGATGAGTCACTAGTAAATTAATTGTTTTCTGTTTCTGCACACACCATAGATGCAGATGATTTTAGTGACCTTGTGATTTCTTTTGTAGGTTGACAGGCTTGAAGCCAAAGTTGTTGAGCCTCTGAAAAGTTATGGAACCATAGTGAAACTTAAAAGGGTAGGTTTAACATCTGTTTTTCTCACAAGGTACATTTTGGTGTTCTAGCCACTCAGTTGAAAACTACTTTGCAGGAAGGGTATTGTTCTAATTTTTCTTACTGCAGTAATCTAAATTATATAGTAACGCATCTGAATTGAAGCTGTATGTATGTTGGAGGAAAAAGCTTTGATGTGAAGACAAGGATATTCAGGCTCTGGGAGAGCAAGACAATACTTAAAAAAAGCATTGTGGATAGTGTGAAACTTTCTGTAGTGCAAATTCAGGACTTTTTTCTTTATAAATAATGTAACTGTTTTTATTTAATTATTATTATCATTATTGCTGTTGTTGTTCAGCGTTCTAAAAGGTGAAATCTTAATCATCTATATGCTGCCTTTAACAGCTTCTCTAACTTAGAATTGCATTCTACATTGAAGTTCATAATGTAGAGGACACTTTTTGAAACTGATAAATAGGTAGTGGCCTGAATCCTTCTCCGTTCTGTGAAGTCATCAGGATGACCTGAAGATACACAAATAATTTGAGGTCTCTTTCTTTGCTGTATTCTGGAAATAGTGTATATAGGGGTTTGAAATACTCCCACAAAATATCTGTAGATTTCTTTCCTCCAGGAGGGATAGCTTGAACAAGTAAATTTTAAAAAGCAGATACTAGTTTATAGGATGAAAACAGTTCTTCATACTACCTGTATATTATATAGAGGTTACCTTCCTCCTGTAAACTCAAATCTGGATTTGGTTGAGTACCTTGTGGCATTGCCCCTCGAACAGGCATTTTTCAGACGTTTTTGTTCTTTTATCTTTTCAATATGGTGAAGAAGTGAGTACAGTGTTCAGAATTTACTGCATAGCTACTCAGCTGGTTGTTGGAGAAAACAATCATGAAGAAAGTGCATCCTGCACTTGAGTAGTACTACATGTGGTAGTGCTTAGCAGAGTTATAGGCTACGGAGCCTGCGTCCTAGAATTTGGTATTGTAATAGTTGCTCTGAAACCCAGTTTGTGAGGCCTAGAGCTGACCAAGTGTATTCTACAGGATATATATGTTGAGGGTGGAAGACAATCTCATGTGTCTGGGGCACTTGGGTTTCTGAGGAGACACACAGAACACTGCAGGAGTGCTTGGGGCTCCCGAAGCATTGGAGATACATAAATGTCCTCAGTAAACACCGAGGACAGAAGCAACTGGAGCCAGATCATCACTTGCAACAGAGAATGGCATTTCCTGTTGTCTTTGCCATTCCTAATGCCAGAAAACATTACATAATGTTTATCTTAGCTACAATGAGGAGTACAAGAGCATTCTTAAACTGTAGATGGGATTAACTATTTTAGCAATGTACCTTTGAACTAGAGAGTCTTCGCTAAAGATAGAGACCATTAAATGATCTCCTCCATCAACATAAACCTTGGTTAAATCTTCAACTGTCTGGTCTATAGTTAACATCTGTAGACACTAGAACATTTTTAGTGAAAAAAGTATTTTTGTCAGTCATGTAAAGCTAACACAGGGTTCTAGTTGGAAGACTGCTTTACCTCTAACTACATTAGCTGATTAAGTAAAAGTAGGCAGAATATGTCATTATAGCACTTTCTATGAAGGAGATGTTCTTTCTCACTGCTACTTACGGGACCTGCTCCAGGGTGTACGCAAACTATTTTTGTGCTGTATCTAAAAAGAACTGTTACTATTTCTGTGAGGTAAGACATCCATGTCCTTTGATCCTAAATGCTTTAAAGAGGCCCAAGTTAATCAGAATAGTCATTTAACTGCTAATGCGATAAAATTGTTTCTAGTTTACTATTCTGAGTAGCTCTCTGGGGCAGGATTTGGGAGCTTTAGTGGAACCTACTGTAATATTCTGTAATGCAACTTCAGTAAGATTTTAGGATTTCCTTCTGTTTCATTGTTCTGTATATCAATCTTCACTTTTCTGCTTTTTGGCAACTCTGTTCCTGGTTCCTTTTCTTCATATAAAACAGGACATCATAAAACCAAGTTGATCCACCTGCAGAAGAAAGGACTGATTTGCTTTAATAACTTCAGTGACTAAAGCAGGTAACAGTACAGTGATGAGGATCTGCCAGCTCGTTGTCTGGTGGATGGACCGTAGCTGTACTTCTTATGGTTTGAAATTAGATGGCTGACAAGAGTTCTTGTGTGTGACTGGAATTCATAGTTTAAAGCCAGAGGGACTATGAATAATTTTATATTCTTTGTATCTGTCCTTTATCTCACTGGCTATTGCATTCCATCCCATTTCTCCTTGGGTGTAATTAAAGCATGTTTTCTAAAAACACATCAAATCTTGGTCTGAAGATGCTGGAGGGGAATGTAGGACTGTTTGTAGCAGTTAGTGGTTAGTTGATGTTTGTGGTGTTTTGTTTTAAATGAAAGACTTTACCTGATCTTTGGTTCTTGTTATGTATTCCACTGAGATTAAAGAGCTCTGTGATGCTCTATTTTCTTTCTGGAGGAAGGTATTTAGATCCTAGTATAACGCATTTTTCATTCTTTTCAGTTAGCTAGAAATGTAGACTGTAATTCTTTCATCATAATGGCATTTCCCCCAACTTTTGCAATTAATTATAATAGTAACTCTAGTGGCTTCCTTAGCATTCTCAAGTATACCTTGCATGGAAGTCAGAACCCTTTCAGCCACAGTGTTAAATCTGATTGACTGTTCTAAATGGATCTAGAAAGTCAGTGCTGTTAACAGGGCCCAGTCATTAATTAATAACACCAGACATGCAGCTGTGACCATTAGATACAAAACTCTTTTGTTCTATGGCAAAAATAAATACGTTTTTCTCTTCTCTTCCTCTACCTTTAATTTAAAATTTAAAATGTAAAGCGTTTTAAAAGTTTTTTCTATTACTGCTTTTCTTTCAGCTGCCGTGGTTTACATAAAGGAGCAAGCTCTTTCCAGCAATCTTTCAGATGGCCTTAAGGGCAGTGTAAATTCCCTTTTAAAAGAACAGCAGCAAAGTTAGTTTTAACAGGCTAAAAATGCAGGTTTTATTATCAGAAACCAGCTGTGTGTCCCTCTAGACGAAGCAATATGAGAGTCATGTACACAAGGATATACAAACAGACAGGAGGGATAGAAACAAGGAAGAAACTGCATGTTTTGATCCTTACCTCACAAGGTTATTGAAGACACAGCACTCTGAACCTTGGAACACTTGTGCTTGTCATTGACTAAGTGACCTGGTCACAGGAGCACAGAGCTTTGGAAGAGACACATTTTTGGTTGCCTGTCTTTCTGGGTGAAGGAGACCTACAACCATGTTAAAATTTGGAAATCGAGGCAAGGAGCACAGACAACTTCCTGAGATTACAGTTTTCAGTAGCTTTAATCCACTCTGTTCTGGCGTGGCAGATAAATGGGAACTGGCCTTTTTTAGAGGAAATGATGGTTTGAAGTGCATGCCCAACTCCTGCCTCAGATTGTGTTAGTCTGATTTGTTTGGGCTGTATTTTTGCTTGTTCTGCTCCTTTAAATTAGAGCCATCAAAATTAATGTCATTTCCCATATCAGGGTCAATGGAGTGATAAGTATCTGATTGACAATTACAGATTCCATGTATGCCAGCCTATTTGCAAAACACAGTTTTATAGCATGAACAAGAATTTGAGAGTGGTATGTTCTTAGTCTTAAATTGTCACAGATCTTCCTAGAAGTACGTCCTACTTCTTTGGAAATCGGGAGCAAAAATATCCATCGACAGTTTCTGCCTTTTCTGTATCAATAAGTTTCATCTTCTCCAGCTACATCATTACTAGGATGTATTTTGTTTGAAATGTATTTAATAATAAATGTATTTAAACACCGTACTAACTGCATATATAAATATGCAGTTTAACCCTTTCAGCCATGAAAGGGTTTCACCCTTTCTATGGCACCTTAAGCTCTGTGTAGCAGCTTTGTGTTCTCCATAACCTCTGATTGGTACTGGCTGCTGCCTGTACTGGTTTTTTTCTTACCTATTTATTTGATGACACTTTTTAGTTCAAGGGCCACCTTTATTTCATTGCTAAGCCCGGAATGGGCATGTTTTCTTACTGCTTTGGGGATCTCAGCATTTGACCGTATACTGTGCTTTTCATGAAAAGATGTAAATATCTTTTTCTTTTTTTCTTCGTATTTTAAATTATCGTGTGTGCTACAGAGAGTTGTGCAAGGGGCTAAACTCTCTTGGTCCCCATTGACTTCTCTTTCAGGGGATCATTTAAAGGGATAAGATCAGTAAAACCTGGTTTTTGTTCAAAGCAGAAGTTCTCGTCATGTTTTCATACATGCATTGCCTAGAAGAAAAGTGCATTTTGTATTATCATAAATCTGTTATCCTAGATCAATTTCAAACATGTCTAAAACATTTTATTTCCAGGATGATCTTAAAGCCACTTTAACAGCAAAGAACCGAGAAGCCAAGCAATTATCTCAACTGGAAAAGACACGGCAGCGGAATCCGTCGGATCGACACATTATTGTATCCTGGATTTCTAGTGGCTATAAGAATTTCTTGGGAATTAAAGAATGATCCTTAGTGGGACTGCTTCCTATGTTGATGTTGAATCTTTTCTAACTTTAAATAGCTGCTTTGTTACTCAGTCCCTTTTTTGATTGAAAAGAAACTATGAAGTATTTGATAGGTTTATGCCAGAGAGGTGGGCATAGATTGCATCTAGGAATTTGGAGGTTTTTGAAACTAAGTGTAATCAGACAACTCCTTTTCCACTTCTGTTGATTTTTTTTTTTCTCCCTGTCATTTTGGTAGTTGTGCTTCCTTGTACCTAGATGGGGTACTCCAGCTGTGAGATGAAGTGTGAAAGGAAAGGTGGTTATTCTGTTAGCAGAAGACTAAACCAGGCTACTTTTCCTTTTAAAAGACCAGTCACCCTTCCCAGTTTACTCTTCTGTATCACAGAGGGAAAAATTAAGCCTCCACAGAATTTCCATTAAAATCTCATTGAGCTTTCAAATTATGAAGCAGTTAGAATGTAGGAAATGCCAAAATGGAGGTGATCAAGGTAATTCTGCTTCAGTCCTTTCTGCCTATGTATTATGATACAGCATTTAAGTTCATGATGGTGTGCTGCTTATTTTTTCCTACACTTTAGCATTGGACTCAGGAGTGAAGCAGTCCTAATTCTTTATAAGAATTCATTGACTTTATTTCAGAAATTAGGATCTTTCTAGTGACTGGTGCATGGGACTGCAGAAAGAGCGAAAATTACTGTGATGGTCAAATGCTACTCAGGAGAATTACATTTTATTTTGGTCTCTGCCAAAGAATTCCCATTTATTATTAATCAAATCAGTTAAATCAAGTGATAACTAATTAGAGTTCTTCATGTAATAAAGACGCACAGATGTCAGCTATAGGGTTGGAACTTGAGCTGTGATGCAGAGTTCTCTTCCATTAGAATTAAGAATTAGAATTAAATGATAACAGAAAGCTATTCTCCCCAAAGGGAGACTGGTCCCATTTTGTTCCCATCTTGTGCTAATTCCCAGTTGATTTCATGGGTATATGGCTGGCACCTCGCTTGTTTCTTCTTGTCTCTTTGCTAAGCTGCTCCCAAATATCCTTCTGTGGCTTAACTTCTTATGACACCTCTGTTTTCTGTACTTAAGACTTTGCTTGAAGAGTTATTAAATCTCAGTACAGTGGTCTTGCCTATGTCCAAAGACCCCAAATGGTAAGTATTTGCATTTTAAAGTGATGAACACAAAATGCATAAGAATTATTGGGAGCAGGACTATGGTCCTTTGCTTTTGAGGATGTATGCAGGTCAGCTTTTAGGTCTGAGAGAGGCTTCACCCTGTTTGTTAGCACAGCTGTCAGGCTCCAACAGTGGCTGTCTTGAGAAATTGTCTTGTTTTAGCAGAGAACAACTTTGGCCACAGATAGCAAAGGATCTGGACTCGCTTCCAGATTTCAAGTCCATCTTATAAAACGTGGGAATAGTGCAGCTTTGAAAAGAAAACTTTACTGTTTTTTATTTTGAAATATAAAAATGCCAAAATGGTTTTATTTATTTTTTTCTGAAATAGTTTGCCTAGGTTGTCTGATTTTTATTTTTTTTCTAAATAAATAAATAACCAAACCCTTAGTCCAAGACAAACAGCTGTCCAGAAATATTTTGGCCTAGATATTTGAATTTTAGCAATACTATAACAAACTGTAAGTGATGTCTTACAGCAGGAAGCTTCAGACAGCATAATAATAGCACTTTCCAAGTATACAGAGGTTTTGAAATATCTGAGGTTAAATACTTCACAATATATTAAAAGTAGAAGTGAAAATAGATTCTTTTATCAATATTTATTGTTATTTTGCCATTTTTTCCTTTACTAATATTTCCAGTCGCAGGTGAGTTTTTCAGAAGAGAAAATACCAGACTGCTCTTGTGCAAACTCTGCAAGTTCTGCAAGCTGAGACATTTCACTCTAAAACAAACAAAATTTCCTTCCCAAAGTATCTGCACACAAAATCTGGCCAGTCTCTTTAGGATGGATCGAGAAGATATCGTTTGTTATCATGGAACTAGCATATTGTATTTGTATGTGTAATGGCTGCTTATGCATAACAGCTGCCTTCATTTACAGAGAGTGACTGATTGTAATAATAGAGAATACACAAAATGTCTTTCCTTACTCTCTTTCCATCCTGTGTTTTGGGCAAAATCAAGAAAGGGAGATGAACATGTGACCTTATGTACTACTAAAGATCATTACCAATTTTATTTGCCCAGTAATGGCAGAATTGTGTCTGTGACACAATTAAGCCATTTTTGTAAGGAGATTGTTTCAAATAGATAATCTTGTAGCACAAGGTTACCAGATTTTAATCAAAGAGAAGAAGTGACAGAGCATGCCTTATGCCTTAGATTTCCATATACATATATCACTAAAAACTAGATCATGAGAACTGGGCCTGTGGCGGCTATTTCCATTTAAAAAAAAAAAAAAAAAAAAAAAAGTTCCTCTCTTAAGATGTGGTGTGGTAGAAATGGGAAGAATCCTACGTCTTGACTGTAGGATAAAATTACTTGATCCATATACTATTCCAAAATCCCAGGACTGGATAGATTCCTAATGATACTCAGTGACAAGTTTAAGTAAATACTGTCTTGACTAGTCAATGATGTTTGACCACTAATGTACAGAAAATAAAAAAAGTTTAGACCCAAATTTTGCAGTCTTCAAGTGCAAGCTCTTCTATCTTTACATCATTATTTTGTAATAGTATACAGTTCTCAGACTTTACATAACCAAAATAGCTTCAATATCTTTATTTAAATGGCAGTGTGCATTTTTATACACTTCATAGTTATAGCTAATTAAAATATATATCTAAAATGCTTTTTTTTAGTAACAAAGTAAGAAAAACTGTGCATTTATGCATTAGGGATTGGTTGGTGTGTCCTCTTCCCAGTGCCTTGTTGAAAATGTTTTTAATAAAATATTTTAATAATATAAAAATACTAAAAATATAAAATACCTGAAACGGGGCGTTGGGGGGTTTTTTCCATTAAAAAAAAAAAAAAAAAAAAAAAAGTTCCTCTCTTAAGATGTGGTGTGGTAGAAATGGGAAGAATCCTACGTCTTGACTGTAGGATAAAATTACTTGATCCATATACTATTCCAAAATCCCAGGACTGGATAGATTCCTAATGATACTCAGTGACAAGTTTAAGTAAATACTGTCTTGACTAGTCAATGATGTTTGACCACTAATGTACAGAAAATAAAAAAAGTTTAGACCCAAATTTTGCAGTCTTCAAGTGCAAGCTCTTCTATCTTTACATCATTATTTTGTAATAGTATACAGTTCTCAGACTTTACATAACCAAAATAGCTTCAATATCTTTATTTAAATGGCAGTGTGCATTTTTATACACTTCATAGTTATAGCTAATTAAAATATATATCTAAAATGCTTTTTTTTAGTAACAAAGTAAGAAAAACTGTGCATTTATGCATTAGGGATTGGTTGGTGTGTCCTCTTCCCAGTGCCTTGTTGAAAATGTTTTTAATAAAATATTTTAATAATATAAAAATACTAAAAATATAAAATACCTGAAATGCTTTTGGATCTAAAAATGCTATTAACTCTAGTCTGCTGATTGAGATACTTATGAGGCAAGTGCATTAGTTCCAGCTGTTGCTCAATTGTCTTTTTAGATACTACATAAAAACTTAGTAAGACAAGGTTCAGCACATGACACTGGAAAAATTTGTTCTAGAGCCAGCAGGTTGATCTGTGCTTGAAAATAAAGGGTGATCTTTTCTACCCATCCACCACTCTGGCCTGTGCACTCCTGCCCTCTCCTTCATACCAGCTTAAAAAAACCTTGAATTTTTCTGAAGTATAAACCCTTGTGCTGGGTTAATTCCCCGAACCCAGACGCTGTGTTCTCAGAGCTGGCTCAGTGGATTAGCAGATGATTATTACAGAAAATGGGTTAGGGCAGTGGGACTTTCATTTTTCATGTTTCAGATCAAAGTGACAATGGTGGAGAAGGCATCTTTGTTTATTAAGCCACAAGGAAATTTACAAAGACAGTAAATACAGATGTGTAGTATTTTGAAAACCCAGACTTAAAATGTTTTCGTGGCATTTAAAGCAAGTATCTTTGTATCAAGTAGAGTATTGATTTCACTTATGTGTTACTTTACCAGGCTGAAAGTGAACTGCAGAGAGCTTCACTGGATGCAACTCGAACAACTCGGCAATTAGAGGAAACCATTGATAATTTTGAGAAACAGAAAATAAAGGACATAAAAGTACGTGTGCTCATGTTTCAATATATGGCATCGTATTTCATCTTGCATAGTAAAATTACTATAGTTACTTATTGGCAAGATTAGCAACATTTAGTGTTAACTTAAGCCTACATAAACGTAAATCTTGTGGTATTCATGAATATTTCATAATCCAAATGTTACGAACTTTGTAATTAAAAAACCAGTTCATTATTTGTACAGTTTACTGAATTAGAATTTTCCTGTATCCGATTGTTTAACATCTGCACCTTCCAATAGTTGCTGTATTCTGCTTCACTGGCAGCTGCATTTGTTAGTGGAATAATATATGTGGATTACTATCAGCCAAATTAACAGAAATAGTGATAAGTAAATAAAATATTTATCCATGCTAAAATTTGTGTAGGTTACCATAGTTAAAAGGTTTACTGATGCAGAAAGCACAAAATGTTCAGTGACTGCAACTGAGCAAAGCTTTCATCTCTTTCTCAATGTCAAACATTGTGGTTTAAGTCCCAAAGACTATAGTGACTGAAAAACACTTGCATTATGTGATCTCACATTTAGTTATAAAATTCCTGAAGTGAGATACTCCTTTTTATTGGGGGGGAGGGCGGGGAGAAGGGAGACTAAATAGGAAAGAATCAAAGATGGCTGAAAACTCCAACCAACCAGTACTTGATGTTAGAGTAATATGAAAAAGATTGTGAGTTCTGAAGATGTCATCATTAAGTGTTTTTGTATATATAAGGAATATTTTATTATATAAGATATATAAAAATATATAATTATCTGTAAACTATAGATATGGATAGAATTTACAGATAATTTATCCCCAACCTGTTGAAAAAGACTGCCATCAATAAAGCAAAAATCCACTGACTACATCTTGCAAATACATATTAGGAAATATCAAATGAGTTTTCAGCATGGTGCTTTATTTATTCCTAGTGAGCCTCCTCTTTGCTTTCCAAGTGTTTACTTAGAATTTAGTATGAAATGACAACTGCTCAAGTGACAGCTCAGCCAGCATTTATGCCTAATTTCTAAAATTCAACCCCTACTACTTAAAAGTACTAGGTATCGTGCAGTTATTTGTATCATATAAATACCAAGTGCAGAATTCAGTAGTTTCTTGTGTTTGACGTGGAAATGTACTTTCCTGCATTAAGAAAACCTTTGTTTTCATTTGCTTTTAGAACATATTTTCTGAATTTATAACTATTGAAATGTTATTCCATGGCAAAGCTTTAGAGATATACACTGCTGCCTACCAAAATATCCAAAATATTGATGAAAATGAAGATCTAGAGGTAAGAGTGATTAAGATTTGCTTTTCAATTTACTTACTACATAAAAACACTTTTCACACTTTGGGGCTGTACATGTCCCAGGCAGAAATTGCAACGTATGTTTCAGGTTCCCAGAACAAACTTTTTAGGTTTACCCAGCCCTTTTTTGCACTCCTCCTGTAAGAGCATGTAGGTTTATGAACTCAGAAATTTTAAAAATGGAGAACTGCAGTGGCAACCTAATCCTTCCCACAAAATGCAGGTAAGAGACTTTTCCTAAATTGTCACTCCAAGCTCACCTAATCGTAGTTCTTAAAGAACACCTCTGCAGTGGATCTCACCCTAAAGATGCACAGTAAGAGAAAATCTTACACTGCTCTGATAAGATGTTCTGAAGAATAATTACTTCATTAAAAATCTCTCTTTTCTTTCTAGTCTGTTTGCTTGTTTTCATCTTTCAGTCATTGCTTTTTATTAGACTGTTAGAGAATTAAGAGACATTTGCTACCAAATTGCTTTTTGTGCCTTGTGGCGATTACAGCTTCCTTTCAAGTCACTCTTTCTGTTCTCTTTGAGTTATAGTCTCCCTGTCCCAAGACATGTTTTTCTGTCCTTAATTCATTCTTGCAGGTTTTCTGGATGTTGGGCCTTTCAGTTTACTGTCATTGAAATGTATGTTGTATTACGTGTTCAGCTTCTCAACAAAGTTGTATCATTTTTGGTCTTGTTTTTGTAAGTCTTATTAGTCTTTATTTTTTCCATGACATAACTCAGGACCAAGGATGGCAGTATTCAGTTAGTGCCAAGACATACAAATTGTGATTATTCAGTGAGTCACGTTTGAGATTACTTGGTGTTTTTATTTCATTTAAACTATGCCATGGCAATTTTGTACTATTCTAGTTTCACAATTAAAATGTCATGTGGCACCAGTTCAAAAATATCCTTTAAGTCAATACTTTATCTTTCACAACCAAATTTCTAATCTCTTTTTAATTTTCTGGTAATTGGACAATATTTACTTTCCGTAAAAATATTAACTGACCATAATTCTAACAACCTTCTTAACTTATTAATATAATAAAGTCTTGCATGAGTATCTTTATTATTTTTAATATCAGGCTGGTAGTCTTATAATTTACTCTTTTTGGCGATTGGAAAGAACTTGTAAATATAATGGATTTTACAGTCTCCCCGGTATTGGAGGAGTTTTCCCAAGCTTTTCTTGAGCTGCATAACCCCTGAACATTTCAGATAAACTTTCTCTGCTGCAGCTGTGACTGGCAGCAAGGATTTGCTTGCGAGGGGGCCAAGAGTTCAGCTCTCCAAGAAAAGGAGAGCCTGAAGGACGTTGCTGGGGTTCAGACTTCCAGGTTCACCTGAAACTCACCTACACGTGTTGGTGGAAAACCACTGCAGTTTCCCACTTGTGAATCCCCTCAGATATCTGAAGGATGTTTACTTTGATCATGTAAGTGTGTTGGGTATGTCTCAGGTTGAGCAAGGATGTTGTTTCAGCTAAGTGATCAATCCAAGCTACAGCTGATACATACCTCTGTAGCAGGTTTAATTGTCCAATGCTGCATTTTTGTTAGCTTCAGCCTTGGTGATTGTTAGCTTGCAAGCTGTAGGATGGCACCCAAGTCACAGCTTTCTTCATTTGAACAGGTTTTTCGGAGCTCACTTTATCCACCAGACTATCAGTCTCGCTTAGACATAGTTCGTGCAAATTCAAAGTCTCCCCTGCAAAGAACTGGCTCCTTAAAGTCTTCACTGAGGACAATACAGGTAAGAAAGCAAAATTAAATGCTAGATCACTGTATTAAAAATATGTTTTAAGTAGAGCCTTGGCTAACGTGCACGTACGTGGATCCACTATCTTCACTCAGTTCACGACAGTTACAAAGGTAAAAAGACTTCCAAAGGCATGCAGATCATACTAAGCTTTAAATAATGCAGCTTCTAAATGCCATTTTTATTAGAGGAAAAAAAACAAAATCAGGCTTTAGAGCTCCGGTGTTTACTTTTGAAAAATCCATTTCCAGAGATAATATTTTGTTCATCAGCAAACTGTGGCATCTTGCAGAGGAAAGCTCTAGGAGCTTACTGGAAACAGAAATTACATTCTTTAAATAACATTTGCATATTCTTAGTCTCAGTATCCAGATCCTAGAGTGTGGATTCTCTACCAAATCCAAACTCAGGCTGGAGGTACCTCCTAACAGTAGAGCAAACCTATAACCAAGAGATCTTTCCTATAATACTCTGAAAATTCAGAGCAGGTGAGGAAAAGGATCATAAAAATAAGTGAAATAGATGGAGAAAGTGCTACTGCTTTTGAAGTAGCTACCTTACAAAAATCTTTGACACTTGTTTACAGCATTAAACTTGCAGATATTGCAAAATGGCTAAATTATTTTTTATTTATTACAGCCTTAATCCTGTAACTAAGCTGATTCTTACCAGTGTTTCAGTTAAAGATGGCCCACTCAGTTATACTGTTATACTCATTCAGTTATACTCAGCCCACTTTTCATTGGATAGAATTGTGCATCGATACTGCAATACTAGAAAGTTTTCTTGACTTTGTACACACCATTTCTCTGCTCTCAACACAGAAAAGATCGATTATTACAGTTGAATTATTCTGTTGTTTAAAGTATGAGTCATGCCATCTGGATTCAGTGTATAAAGATGAACCTTGACTTTGAATAAGTTGCCTGTATCTCTAACAAACAACCAAATTCCATGTTCAAGCTACTTCAAAAAATGTTTACCCATTCCTTTTATTTGAAGACCAAAAATCCATTGCCATTTTCCTTGAGAACTTCCTCACTGCTGTAAAACTGAATCAAGGGTATAAAAGCTTCCGTAATTACTCTGAGGTGCCACAGATCACCATGTTTTGGACTCTCTTTAAAAAAAAAACAACGAACAGAATCACCAAAGAAAACCCAAACAGTATGTACACTGTGATTTCTCTCACAGGTGGAGTGGATCTCCCTTTTGACTACTTGAAAGTTTACCTTACTCTTCTCCTAGACCTCTCATTGAGCTATAACTTGTTCTCATAACTTCTCACTGGAATATCTGCAAAGAGCAGGAAGTCATCTTCTCCTAGAGGGAAACTGCAGTACATTTCAAAATAATGTCACCTTACTGGGCTATGCAGTGTATGTGCAGAGGAGGACCACACAGCAGGAAAAGGGTGGAACACCCTCCTAATGCAGTACTGTAAGGCAGGAAAGAAGAGGGGAGGCATCCTGTTTCTGCAAATAGTGTGTTGCAGCAGGATCAGTACCTTAAATTACACTGAGGGCTCTAATCTCTGGAACCCACCAAACATCTCACTAGCAAAAAATGCTGCCTTCAGGAAAACCTTCAGGTGACTTAGTTTTACCTTTTTGGTGGATCTTTCACTTCCAAGTTTTCACAAGTCTAGTTTCATGCTACGTAATAATATACTGACCATAACGTAGTACTTTGGAATTTTCAGTTTAAAGGAGTATAAATAATACGGTGAGCAGTTCACAGAATCACCCAGAATAAGACTACAGGGGACGGGTGACACAGACACCAACGTGTAGGTGGGGGGTGGGAAGTCACTGCATACCAGAAGGGATAAACTGTGCTGGTAACACAATACTTGTCTTTCAGAGGATTTAGCACATGCCATCCTTCAATTTATTTCTGGTTCTGTAGAGTACCTACGTTTCTTTATTATTTCCATATTAAGAATCTTAAGTACTCCTTCATTTTTTCACAAAGAGCTACCTCCTTTAAGGTTTTGGTGCCTTAATGTGATGTCACGTTGCTTTGTCAAGCAACATGATAATCTAAGCGTGTCCTGTCCCTTACTCCTGGATGATATTCTGGAAGGAGTGCTATATGCTCAATTATCAAAAGCAGGAATTTAGGCAGACCATTGGTAGTTGTGTGTCCATCTTAATGCTTTCGTCCCTCAAATCTTTCCTCCCTTAACTTTGATAGCTGTTTTCAGCTGACACTGGGACTAGCTGAAGCAACTGAGATGCTAAGTTTCTCCATCCTATCTGCCAGACTTCATTTAGCAGACGGGCCTATAAAACCTTAAGGAAAGGAGCAATGGGCGATGCTGTGAGAAGGAATTAATGTCCCCAGCTGCACTGACAGTACAATAATAAGACTTGCAGCATTTGTTCATTTTTATGCAATTAATATGACTTTTGTGCACCAGGAAAGCTTTTTTTCTTTTCATAGGATGGTTGTGCCCTATGATGAGAAAACCTCGTCAGGGGTTCAGGACTTTTTTTAAACATGACTATTTCAGATACTTAGTTTTACACAAGTTCTGAAAAGGCCATTTAAGTTTTCACAACAATCCTTTGTAAATCCCTTCATTTTGCACTTTATTTGGCAATTTATCTTCAGCATTTTGTTTTACCCATTCAGGTTGGTATGCTGTATTTTAGAACTAGAGCAGAAAAAGAATGATCTTTTCTAGATATTTTAAATCCAACTTAATTACACAAGTTTTATCCACATGCATTTAATACAGCCGGCTGTTTTGCAGCTGCCCTCTGAGACAGCAAAGTGTGGTTTTAACCGTGGCTGAAATTGTCTGCATCTGGGTGTTCCAACACTGCCTGCTGGGTAAGACACGAGGAGAGAACTGCCACGCTTTCTGTAGTAGCACACAACAGCTAAAGCAAGGATAGTCATCACCTATGTGCAAACTTAAGATAATTCATTTTCAAATAAATTGTTTATGATGAGCAACAAATCATCAGATTAAATTAAATTTTTTTTAATTATTTTTTTTCAGCATTAAGTAGTCAAAAATTACATTTTCGAGTACTGGTATTGTTCTGGCTTTATGGCAGAACAAAATGGATTAAAACTTCCTAATTTACTTTCTCACACTCCTTACTCTGATCTAGTTTGGGTCTTAGATGAGGCACCACCACCTCACCGCCACCGCACATTTTATCTGCTGTTTATTTAGTTACAGCCTGGTCACAGGTGCTTGAGTAGTAAGCAGAAAAAAAGCCCTAAAGCCAAAATAGCACCGCTTGTTTCAGAAAAGGGGAAGAGGGAACTTTTATTCAGAAATATGACTGAAGTTCTGCTTAAGAATTTCAAATGCTCTTAACTAGGAAACACTTGGAAAATTAGTCTATCCATTGAAATGAAGCTACCTTAGCAGGCTCAATCTGCAGCACTCCTTAATCTCCAATTACAAATCAGTGTCATTGTCTTTTTCTTCTTTCAGAGAATGAAAGATTGCTGGTTTAGGCATTTATACTCAAGTTAACCCAGCTTCATCCAATGATTAACTCCATTTTCTCTTATGTTCAGAGATTTGTAAGCAAGAATTTGCTTCAAGCTAAATTATGTACTTTGTGAGCACCAACAAGACTAAAGATTTTTCTGCTTTCATTAGTTCAATGATTGCAGTTTGCTTTATGCACGCACAAAAAACTTTTGTTACATACATAGCTGTATGAATTATGACATCTCAGAAGTCAAATTTAATAACCAGCACTTAAGGACTTTTAAAATAGGGGGTTCTTTACCAAAAAAAAAGAGGCAAGTTTTGTCTTCAATACTGAAGTTTTATTATATCACTGTATGTAAGAAACTCAGAAAATATAACCAAAATTAGAGCTGCAGATGCCCTCAGAGAACTGCTGAACCCAAAATCATTTTTCAAAAGCATTCCAGATGACTTGGATAACTGTCTTTGAGTTTAATGTTCCTTTTCTCATGGGGAAAGAAAAAAAATCCATATATTCTACTTTAAATTGTAAATGTTGCATCTTCTGTGAAGGATCTATCTTCAATAGGAATTAGATTGAGCCCTCAATAGAAAAAAGGATAGATGGCAGAATCTGTCAGAGGAGATGAAAGCTTGGCAGCTGGCACTTGTTTTTAACATTTGATGAACCAAAAAAAGGGTACAGTATAATTCTGAAGGGCAAGTGCTGATGGGCAAGGAAAGTTCACATATGAATCAAGACTCTTCTAGTAAAGTTTGTGTAATTTATTCTCAAAAAAAGCTTAGAACAGCACAGTGTTGAGTTTTTCATTTAACTAAAGGGGTTTGATGTCTTAAAGATAAGATTGTGCCTTAATACTCATCTCAGTCTGCTGTCTCTACAGCCAACCCAGTAAAAACCTGACTTACATCCTCTTGATTTTTAACATCAAATTAATCAATGCATAGTTTTCCCTATCCTATAACAGTTCTCAGGACTATGGGGACTTTTGTAGCTTTTAAAAATGATTACTGTATTTCTGTTCTCTGCCATATATATGTTTCTGTTGGCATTGTGCATGTTGGAAATTGAAAGGTTAAGTCATAAACAACTTCTCCTCACACACACTTACATGAAAAACCTAGGAGTACTTAGACTGGAAATGCCAACAGAGAATTGTTTTTCTTTCAGGAGAGCAAACACTTGACTGACTTGGCTTGGATTTTTGTTTTAACAGCTTTCCAGCAGTATGCTAAGAAAAGACGAAGAAGAAGAAGAGGAGGAGGAAGATGAAGATGAGGAAGAGGAGGAGGAATTAGATGCTACTAAGGAAGTGAGATAACAATACAGTTCTAAGAGTCTTTTCTTGGGTTTTCTGATTGGGAAAAAAATAATCCTTTTGTGTGTTAATCAAAAACTTCACTGAGGCTGTATTTTTAACATTCCAACAGGAGCAAGAATTGGCAGTACTAGTAGAGTGCCAGACAATGAATGACCAGGTTCAAAGAATGGAATAAAAATCTGCTGAAAATGGACCACTTCAGTAGCTAGAAACTGAAATATTTAAATAGAATCCTGCATTTTAATTGCATAGATATATATTGCAGTCACATTTGCTTAAACTTACGATGAACAGTGTCCAAAAACTGCACTAAGCTGACAAGCAGCTATGAACATAAGGGTTTGCTTGTTACTTTGCCAATATATTATTTTTTAGATACACACCTCTTGGATTTTTTCAGTCCTCTAGCTATATCTGTCATAATTGGTTTTATATGTCCTAAAGCAACTGTAGTTACTCAAGAAACTGATTAGAGCAACAATCCTGTTAGACTTTATTTTGTTACCCACCTTGGATGGCAGAAGGCAGGGTGAGGTTTATTGTTTTCTCCTTTTCCACAGGCTTGACTCAGATGACTTTTGATTCCTTTGCACGTACAGAATGAACATTCACAGAAGTCCCTAGCCTAGTATGTACTTTTAGTGCTGCTTTGCTTTTAACTAAAAGTGCCTTCATAATAACACTAATTGATATTTTATATAGTTGACATTTATTATATTAGTTGACATATATATATAGTTCAAGTTTCATGCGTTTAACTAGTTGCTTCAGTTAGCAGTTCCATCAAACAGACAAGAAATTGCACAGTTTGAGTGTAATTTCTTGCCCTATTTGGAGATGGTGGTTATGCATGTTCATTTTTTAATAGCATACAACTGTCTGCCAGAAAGTTGCTACAATATTATCTCCAGCTTTAGTATCTGCTAAAGAAAGAACACATGTATAAATTGAGAATTTAAACTTGTAACTGGGAAAACAATCTTAAATTATAACCAAATACTCTTTTGGTTACGGAAATAAACCAGGAAATGCATTTTTAATATTAGTGCTGCCTTTGTCCACTGATGCGGAGTATGCAAAGTATACTTTTTTTGGCAAGTGAAAAAACAGGTTTTGCCAAAAATTAATGTGATGAAAATATAAGTGAAAATGTCACAATATAGGATTCTGTTTTAAACCCAGAAAATAGTTCTACACCAATTACATACTGTTGACACTGAACTACTCTTCACAAGGAGCAGAATACTAATGAGGAAGACTTTAAAAGTATCTACATAACTAATTCCTGTCTATTTCAGCGAGTAGGGCACTTCAATGAATATTTGTGTCACAACATCAGAATTAGGATAATCACCACTCTACCATTTAATAATCAGTGAAGTCATGTAGTCCATCTCCAAAACAGTAACTTCATGGCTACATCAGGTTTTCATATAATACACATATATGCAAATAGTGATATTTTTTTTCTGTACTATGCCTTCTGACTAAAAAAGGAAGCAGTGTTTAATTCCCATTAAAAGATTAGTAGCTAGAGTTCAGAAAGAGAATTGGGTTTTTTCCTCAGCAATTTCAAATTCCTCCTCTACTAACTCACAAAAAAAAGTTGACTTTAGGAATTACAGAAAAACTTACAGAAAGGGAGAAATACAGTGTTGGGCAACTTTGTCCTGCGCATATGAAGACTTAAGTTTTCATGTTAAACAGAAATTGTGTGACCTCAAAACTACACATGAAAAAGTCATGTCCTGTTATTATTTAACTGATGTCCTGGAATGCCCTCCCAATTCCCCTCTGCTTCACATCATCTCTGTGTATGCTGAAGTACACCTTTTGTCTTTATAGACCTATAAAAAAAAAACCAACATATTTTTGGCCTATCAGTCAGACATTTCAAATTAGAGATTCTGACTACTCTAGGTTAATCTGTCTTTAAATTAAAGGCAAAGTAGCTATAAGGCAAAAAAATGCCTTAATTATGGCCTCTGCCATTATAAGCTGTGTGACTCTTTTTATGTATTCACAGGGGGGAATGTTTACCATCCCAACAATTAATGTTATCAGCAATTACTCTAACTTTATTGAGAACAGATAATGCTTTTTCCAAAAGATACTCTCACACTTTACTGGCAAAAAACATACTAAACTCGCTTATCTTCCCAGCCTCCAAATCCTTTTTTTCATTACAAGAATCCACATGTGTGTACAACACTATTCTAGAACTAGTAAAACATTTAACAATTTATTTTCAGTGTCTGAAATAGTTTAGTTATTGTTTAGTTGCTAGAAGAGCTTTAAAACCAACAAATCATCTAAAGCTGATTAACTGGAGAGGTTAGTTGCATTCACATTTAAACACAGCTGATAATGTAGAGGCAAGAATTAGTAGTAAAGATGATGCTAGCTTACAAAAATAATCACAATTAAGTTTTCATAGCATGATTAGGTCAGAGAAGTTTATTTTGAGGTTTCTCATAACACATCTTTATTTTCCCTGCAAAGTCTTCTGACTCCTTGAACTCTTTTATAGCAAGTATGAAATAAAAGCACCAAGTTGCTGGGTTTTATTTTAATTCCTTTTCAATTCACAGGAGGATTCAGAACAGTATGCTTCTGAAGCTAATTTCCACCAGACAACAAAAAAAAAAAAAAAAAAAAAAGGAAATTTAAAATCAGTCTGAGAAATCTTTTAATGCAATATTTGCAATGCTGTTCTGAAATACTAAAAATGCTTCAAGGTAACCAACAAAATATTTTTACCTCTTATTGCACTACATAAACTCTCTATTCCAATTAAATTTATTATATACTTCCTGTCTTATATTCCTTTTACTTAATGACAAGAGCCACC